ATTTTCTCATTGTTTTAGAACAATATATTCCATCCTAGGACAAATGGGCTGTGCTTCACTTCAGCTGGAGGGAAACCTGCACAGTACAGAGTCCCATGACCCCGACAGTTAATAGAAAACACGGTCACAAAGTTGTAGGAGTGAGATGGCAGCTGCTGCTTGGCAGAAGACTCCTGGGGAGGCCTCAACTCCAAGCTGGGCAGACTGGAGCAGGGCAGGCCCAGGAGGTGTCATGTTTCTCCTGTCAGCTGACAGCTCTTCCGGCTGTCGGTGGAGGTGGAAGGTCAGCTGCTCGCTCGGTGTGAAAGGTGGGGCTGGTGATGAGAGGGTGGAGCCAGCAAATAAGGAGACTTGAGTCCTGCCAGGAAAATCACTGGTGATCCAGGGGCCTGAAGAAGGGATCCGCTTATGTGGCCCAGAGAATTCCGAGTCAAGTCCATGCAGCACTTGGGGACGGGGACGGGGACGGGGACGGGGACGAGGTGGGGGGCTGCTACCGATACTGCAAGCCACACTCAGAGGGAGCCACCCAGCTTTGACGAGGTCCTCTGGATGAGATCATGGTGCTGCTATAGAAACAGTTTGATAAGCCAGAGTGGGGTAAAGATGTCAGCCAACTGGAGTTAGAAGTGAACTATGATGGTAGTTTTGATATCAGAAGCATGTTATTGTTGGATGGTTGAGTGAAAAAACAAAGCAGGAGACTACACTGTGCTTTAGCACTTAACACAGTATATTTTTTTCAGATGATCTCACTGTGTAGTTCAAACTGGCCTTGAACTCACTATGTAGCCATGCACCACCATGCCTGGTTCTATCTTATATTTGTATTTATACTTTAGGATTACACAAAGTTGAACAGGTGTTTCTTCAGGACTTGTCAGTCTTTAAAATCGTAATACAATTTATTAATATTTCCTGGTGCACTTTTCTGTGGAACCAGATTGAGAAAAGCTGGTTTAACCTAACATAGAAAGGTACCCAGGTGTGCAGTGGTGGATGCAACTTAGTGTGGAGGCCCTGGGTTCAATCTACACACACACACACACACACTCGCAAGCACAAAAGTTAACCTAATATTAAAAATGTCACAACCGAGTTCAACAAATATACCACAAAAATACAGAGTAGAATGACGCATTGATTTTTTTTTTTTTTTGTCTGTATGTGCTTATGTGTTTTTCTTACTTAATAAGCCTGTACCAGGAACAAGAGGTTAAAAAAAGCAGTGGTATAGTTTAGGAGACAAGTGTTAAAACTTGCAGTTTGAAAATCTGTGCAACCTTGAACAAGATCCTGAAGTATAAAATGGGAAAAACAATACTTGATGAAGATTACATAAAAGATAATCTATGGAAGTCTCTGAGGACAATGTGTGGCACAGCTGGTAGGAGCCGGAGATGTGGTAATTGCATTACCGAGTTAGTTACTGGACTTTTAGAGGTTAAGAAAGTGGCATTAGGGCTGGGGATTTGGCTCAGTGGTTCTGGCGCCGGCCTCACAAGCTCAAGGTCCCGAGTTCAATCCCTGGTACCAAAAAAAAAAAAAGTGCGACAAGAAAGTGGCACTGCTTCACTAAGGGTTAGCAAAAAAAAAAAGAGGTGGGGATGCAGCTCAGCAGCTGAGTGCCTCTGGGTTCCATGTCCACTATGGTCCAACAACCAAAAATACTTTCGGGGGGCTGGGGATTTAGCTCAGTGGTTCTGCCACCTGCTTCACAAGCACAAGGACCAGAGTTTGATCCCCCGTACCAAAAAAAAAAAAGGTAACAAAAACACTTTTGGTGGTTTCTTAGGACTAAATTTAATCACTGTATCAGAGAAAAATGTCTAACAACTAATTGCTTCTAAAATACTCAGATGCTTCTAATGAATTAAAAGAACTTGTGCTCCAATTGTAACTTCTAACATTAAATATTCTGGAAACTTTATTCCTTCTCAATTGTAGTTTTGGAAACTTACCACTTTGGATTCTTCAGAATTTTCAAATATCTTTTTCTGACTTCATTAATTTAAATATCCCAGAATAGCCTCTTGAGCTATAAGTTTGATGATCCAAGAAGTTATTTATAGCAGGGTGAGTACTCTCTGTGACTGATGTTAGTTACATTTTATTTTGGGAGGGATAACCCACAAATCATTAAAAAGATTGATAGGGCTGATGGTGTTTTAAACTGAAAGCATTGCCAAGGCCAATAGGGGAAGTGAGGTATGAAGGTGGAACACAGAAAGATCTGGATGCATTTTTTGCCAGTTTAGCTACAGGGTGGAGAGGCCTCCAAGAGAAAGCAGGAAGAAACAAAGTAACTCTGACCTAGTGATCTTTTGGGTAGATTAGAAACTTCAGCCCTGGCAGCCTGGGCTGTTTGTCTACTACTTAGTAACTGACAAACGGGAGACAGGAGTCTGCCATAAAATCCTTGGTGTTATCCATATTCCCCCCAGGAAGGAGAAAAATAGGAGGCAGAGGAAGGTTATAATTATTAATCTTTAAAAAAGGATTATTTTTTGAGACTCAGTCTTGCTAAGTTCCAGGCTGGCCTCAAACTAGGGGTCAAGGAATCTTCTTGCCTCAGCCTCTCGAGTAGCTGGCACTACAGAATGCACCAAGCCAGGCCAATTTCTTTTCTTCAAACTTTAAAAAATTGTGGTAAAATATGACAAGAGTCTTTGTAGCCCAGAATGGCTTCAAACTCAACCTTTTCCTGTCAGCCTCTGGATGCTGGGATTACAGATTTTTTACCACCACGCCCAGCTCCATTTACATCATTTTAGTCAGTGTGATGGAGTATATTCAGATGGTCGTGCAACCATCACTATTTAGCCCCAGAACTTTTTCATCAAACCAAACAGCAGCTGTGTCCCTGAACTGTAACTCTCTACCCCAGAAACCTTGGTTAACCAGTATTTCATTTCCTGTGTTTGCCTTTGATAGGTGGCGCCTACAAGGGAAATCCTACAAAATCTGTCCAACTGTTCTTTCACTTCACTTATTTCTAGTTTATCTATGTTTTATCATATATCAGACACTCATTCTTTTTAAAGGTTGCACATTTCACTGTATTACCCCATTTAAAAAATCCATTTGGCCTAGGTTTAGCTCAGTGGTTTTGCCGCCTGCTGTGCAAGCGCAACGAGCCGATTTCGATCCCCGGTACCAAAAAAAAAAAAAAAAAAAAAAAAAAATCCATTCATCCATTAATGGACATATGTGTTGTTTCTAATTTTTTGCCTATTGGGAATAAGGTATGAACACGGGTATACCAGTATCTGTACATCCCCTCTTTTTCTGAAGGCTTTTCTTCCTTCACTTTTATCCCTATTAACCATTCTACAGGTTACACCTGGTACTTCTCTTTGAAAACAGCCTTGTATTAGCCAAAGTTTAAGAACTTTGTGGTTAATTTGCAAATTTGAAGGCAAACGACTTGGGCTTTTGCCTTGTCCCCAGAGACTTAAGTCCCTCTTCAGTAGCAAGAAATGCCCAGGTTTGCCTCTTTTAAAAAGAGGGGGTGCCAGAGTAATAAATGTTTTTCTTTGCTCACTATTTTTTTGGAGACAGGTTCTCTATGTAGTTCACGCTGGCCTTGAACTTGCAGCGATCCTCCTGCTCAGCCTCCCAAGTGATTGGATTACAGGCAATGCTACCGGGGGGCCCGGCTGAACGTTTTTCATTTTTTGAGACACGGTCTTGCTACGTAGCTCAGACTGGCCTTGAACTCACAGCAATCCTCCTGCTTCAGTTTTCCGAGTGCTGGGATTACACCACAGTGTGCACCATCACGCCCCGCTATCAGACTGTGTAAATATGAAGCACATATATTTTTGAGGGCCCTTATAAATCATTAAATATTTAAAACAAGAAATTGAACCGTGTTACTGGAGACTTGGGAATTCAGATTCCTTCTCCGGAAGTCTCTTTAGGTAATTTATCAGAAATGCTTACACAGCCTTGTGTTCCCGATTCCGAGCTGACTCCCCCTCTCCACCTGGAGCACTCCCTAACTCTCGGCCGCCCCTGCACTCCCAGGAGCCCGTGAAAATGAGCGACCCTGAAGCGGCAGATCAGTAGCTTCCATAAACCTGCCACCGAATAGTATGACTGGCCCTTCCAGAGCGGGTAGCATGTCACTCCTGGGCCTCCCGCGTCCAGCTCTGGTGCTTGGGATGAGTTCGGGTTAGAGAGGGTTAGTCCTCCAGCCCGCTCGTCTGCCCTAAGGACACGGGTGATTCGGAGAACGGTACGGTAGGACCGATAGAAAACGAGGAGTGACGGAGTGGATTCCTCCCTTCTGCGCTGGTAAGGCCGCTGCATCACTCTGACTCAGCTCGACTTAAGGACATACTCAGGGCCGAGTCTCAGCGGCGGGCCCTCCCATTCTGGTGGACAACCCCCGATGGGAGAGGAGCTCGCGGTCTCATTCCGGGGGATTAACAGAAGGCGGAGCGCCGACAAGGCCCGCAACGGAAGTTTCTTTGAGAGAAAAGAAAAACAGCGGAAGTACGTTGACCACATCGCTTCCGCCCCTGGCCTGAAGCAGGCTCTCCACTCTGTCTGGAACGGGGAGCGAGGAAGCGCTTCACAGTCACTTCCGTCATGAGCGCCGTGCGGCTGACCTGCGCATAGGCTCCAAAGGCCAGCTTCGCCTCCAGGCGTCTTTCGGTGGCCCAGTCCCTTCTCAGTTCCCGGGCCGGAAGTGAGCGTTTGCGTTTACGTAGCCGGGGCGGGGCCTCAGGAGGAAGCATTTAAGGGCCGGGATCTCGCGAGAACATTCCGTTCTTGCGCGGTTCTCGCGCTGCGGCTCTCCCGTCGCAACGAGATCCTTCGAGATCTTCTCCGCCCACGCTACCGGCGCCTCTCTTGCGGCCGCTGAGCCGGAGCCCTCCTGAGTGGCGCCCTAGCCTGCGGGTCTCTTTCCAAAGACCTAGGCGCTCGCGTGGACTCTCGTCCCCCAGTCTACGCGGCCTGCTTCCCGCGCGCCAGCGCCGCCAGGGTCCGTGTCCTGTCTCCGTGACCGGACCCGGGCCCGAGCCCGACCAGTAGCCGGCGCCATGTCGGTGGTGGGCATAGACTTGGGCTTCCAGAGCTGCTACGTCGCAGTGGCCCGTGCCGGCGGCATCGAGACGATCGCTAACGAGTATAGCGACCGCTGTACGCCGTAAGTGTGAGGCGGGCCGGCCGCGTGCACCGGGTGGGGAGGTAGTGCTTGCACCAGTTGGCTCAGGGAATGCGGCCGCGGCGATCTCCTGCGCTCCTAGCCGGGGGCCCAGTGGGATGCCCCCGTGCTTGCCGGGTCTTCCGTGACTGTGACCCGCAGTGAGCTTGGGTCTTCCCCGTCTCGAGGCTTCCCGCGTGCTCGAGGTGGTGGTATTAGGGGAGGGAAGGCTGGTCTGAAATATGGAATGGACCGAAATGCTTTTTGTTCCTGGCATGGGGTCGTCTCTTGAGCCCAACAGAGGGCTCAGGGCTTTGCATACAGTGATGAATAAAAAAAGCTGTTTGACTGAAACGGGTTTTGGCGATTGCCGGCCGCGAGACTGTGGAGCAGTCAGAGTCCCACGTGAGTGGGGGCGGGGCGGCCCCCGGAAGAGAGGCAGGAGGACTGGAGGCTTCGGGTGGGCCGGGCATCCTGAGATGGGGGTGGCACGGATAGCCATCAGAAGGGGCTTTAATAAAACCAGTGCTGTCTTGTTATCGTTGCTTTCACTTTTGCTTACCACATCATTTCAGGATTTTGAGCTGTACATGCTCATTCTCTGCCCAGTCTGTAGGCATCTACTTCATAGCGTTGCGATTTCAAGATAATGCATTCCAGTCGGGTGTTGGGTACAATTGTTCATGAATGACTCAAAGGCTCAGTTTGATTTCTAGAACCTATACTGAGTTATGGGACCAGTGTAGACAAAGCTCCAAAAAAGGTGACTCACCCAGGTCTTTATTTGGTTAGAGTAAGAGTTTCTCTTTTGAATACATGTAGGTGATTTTAATCCTCATCTTTCACTTAGGCAATATCTTGTAAAAGACTTTTTATTAAAATTCGACGTTTTCAGTGTGGTGGTTAAGGTTCTCAGTTCTGACGCTCATCATCATTTTCACCTTGAATTATTTTTCCTCCAATACTGGATTTGGGATAGAATCCAGGGCTTCCTCTACCGCTGAGGCTCCCCTTCCCCCACAGCCCTTCACTCTGAAATTTTCTCACACTTTTTGTAGCCTTCTAGCCAAACTATATTGCTCTGTATACTTCACTACTCAGAAAGTTCAGTACATTCTACTTGCCACATTTCAATCCCTCTTTATATCTAACTGATATACTTCACCTGAAGATTCGTCCCATAATCTCATATCATAGTTTGATGTTGTTTCCCCAAGTTTGTTTAGTTTTTTAACAGCTTTATTGAAATGTAATGTGCAGTTTACCATTTATGTAGTCACAAAACAGCGCAACCATCACAGTAAGAAATTTTCATCACTCTTAAAGAAAACCCGACACTCAAGCTCCAGTCTCCATTTTGTTATAACTTTTAATAGCGGGTATTCTAACTTGTATTGTCAAGGAAATGTGCATTGATATTAAAAGAAAGTGTTAAAGTTTGTTCTTGAGCATTTTATTATTAATTTCCTATTAGATATTGCCTTCTTTGGGTCCTAGTTTTCTTTCTCTGTAATGATCGCCTTCCTGAGGAACTAAAAGGGCTAGACAATTGAGTTGGGCATGTAGCTTCTGCGTCCTTGCCTGCCTAAAATTGAACAAACTTGAGCTCCAAAGGGGACACACAAAGAGAATACCATTAAATGCCTTAAATTATGCCCTTGTTCCTATATAATTCTGTTATCTGTGTTCATATGTGGGAATGCTATGCATTCAAGTAGTTTTCCTAGTATGGGGAATTGAACCCAGGCATTTACATTGAGTTAATCTCCCTGGCCCTTTTTATTTTTTATTTTTGTGGGTTTTTGAGGGAGGGTCTCTTAGTTCAGGCTGCCCTTGAACTCACTGTGTAGTCCAGTCTGGCCTCGAACTCGTGATCCACCTGCCTCAGCCTCCCAAGTGCTAGGATTACTTGCTTGTGCCACCACACCTGGCCCCAGCCCTTTTTAATTAAAAAAAGATTTTTTTTTTTTGGTACCAGGAATTGAACTCGGGACCTTGTGCTTGCAAGGCAGGCAGCGGAACCACTGAGCTAAATCCCTGGCCCTAAAAAATTTTTTAATTTTGAGACAGGGTCTTGCTGAGTTGCCCTGCCCAGCTTCAAGCTTGTGATCTCCATGGAGCCCAAGCTGGCCTCAAACTGGTTGATCCTCCTGCCTCATCCTCCAAAGTGTTAGGGTTACAGGAATGCAGCAGTACCCCTGGCTCATTTTGGCACATTTGTACTTGTACATAACATACTTTGATCACCCCTCCTCCCAGTTTCACAGTTGTTTTGAAGGGGTTTCATTTTACATTTTGATAGCCGATTTCTTTTTTTTTTTTTTGGAACTGGGGATCGAACTCGGGTCCTTGAGCTTGCGCAGCAGGCGGCGAAACCACTGAGGTAAATCCCTGGCCCCATAACTGATTTCTATTAACTTAGATTTCTGTATTGGAGTCTTGGGCTACTTAGAAGCCCCCCCCCAATAATAGCAGAAAGCTTGATTTTTGTACAGATGATGGGAAGGTGGTTTTGGATCTCAGGTGCAGATGCTGTGTGATGTAGGCTTGTTTAGGGTGGAAGTGAGGTGCAGAGAGGGCCTTGAGGGTTGGTTTTGGTGGATGTATCTCCTTTTAAATTGTGAGTGTAACTTGGATTTCTTGTTTTTTTGAGATGGGTTCTTACTAAGTGGGCTGCCCAGCTGTGTAGCTCAGGCTAGCCTCATGATTCTTTTGACCTCAGCCTCCTAAGTACTGGTTTAGAGTCTTGTGCTCTGGATTCTGTTTTGAGGGTCCAGTGAAATCTTACCCACAACAGATCTTTGCCTGACCACTGAATTCAAGTTCCCTTCATGTTAGCAGATGTTGGATGCAACCAATGTGGCAGCCATCGCGCTAAGTGCTGGAGGCAAGATGGCGAGCAGATGAGGTCCCATGGTGATGGAATAGTTAGTGAAAGAAGCCGCATGCTAAGTATGAGTATATAATTACTAACTGGTAAAGGACAAGGTGGAAAAGCACAGAATACAGTGAGCGTGCCAGGGAGATTTAGTTCAAGTTGGATTCGGGGTGGAATTGGAAGAAGTGGAGGATGAGTAGTCTAGTTTGAAGGTCACGGTGGGTTTGAAGAAGAGCTGTTATAGGTGGAAGGGGCAGCAAGTGTTTAGACCTGAGACAAGAAGAGTTTGGCACCCTTGACTGACTGTGAGGATGGAGGCTCACCCTGAGTCCTGGTGAGGAAATGGCCGGAGGTAATTTGGAGGAATCAGCCGGGCCATGCACACACCAAGCCCTGTTAAGTGTTTTTATATGGGCACAGAGTGAAATGATTCGATTTACTTTTTTTTGGTGTCCAGGATCAAACTCAGGACCTTGCGCTTATGAGGCAGGTGGTGGCACCACTGAGCTAAATCCCCAGCCCCATTCAATTTACATTTAAAAAATGTGGTTGGCTTTTGTGAGGAGAATGGATTTATTTGAGAGCCCAGGAGGCTCTTACAGTACTTACTGTGTGTGGAAGTTGTTGGTTTCCATCAGTGTGATAGTGTGGGAGAGAAATGAGTGACTGCAAAACATTTTTGGGTTTTTGATTATGAATGTTTGCATCGAGTTACATTGTTTTGAGCTTGAGCTTTGGAATAAGATGAAACCCCTCCCCCCTTTTGATTTTTTTTTTGAAACGGGGTCATTTTATGCGGTTCAGGCGGCCTTGAACTCATTTTGATCCTCCTCCCTCAGCTTCCTGAGTGCGGAGATTACATGTGTATGCTCCAGGCCCGGGAAAAGCCTGGTTTGTTTTTTTTATTTAGTTGGATTATTACAATAGTAAGGGTTCAACCTTAAAACCTTTTAGAATAAGAATGTTGGATTACAAAAAATTTCAGGAGCTGATTGGGCCATACTTTCCAGAAGGAACTAACATTTAATAGGCTAAAATTAGTTACTTATGAAGCTCTGTGGATGAATTGTTCACATCATTTTCACGGACATGAAATAATAGGACCTTGAAGAGGTGCCATGATTTAACAGTTGATCTTGAGAGCAAAAGATGAAAAGTATGTATACTTTCTGGTTAATGGAAAGTGACATCTGGTCCCTTATTTGTGCAAGAAAATTACTCTTTGAAACTAATGTTTTTATACATTGTGTATCTCAAGGAAAGCAGCCTGATAACTTGGCTCCTTTTTTTGGGGGGGGGGGTGAGTCAGGGTCTTGCTATGTAGTCCAGGCTGGCCTTTAACCAGTATGTAGCTCAGGCTGGCCCCAAACTTGGTGATAATCCTCCTGCTTCAGCCCCCCAAGTGCTGAGATTAGAGGCGTGAGCCACCACGAGGCTGATTATGAAGGTTTCTTAGAATCATTTAAAAACTAAAATACTTTGGATACAAAATCATTGACAGTAATCTGCAGGAATTTAGTCATTAGGTTCCATCTTGGGTTTCCTAAAGTAATTGTTTTTTCTTACTTAAAATACTAGTTTGGTGTAACAATAAAAGCACTGAAGTACTAAAGTGAAACTAAGTTGCCATTCCTGATTATTTGTTATTTATCATCATAACCTTTTACTTCTGCAAATACATACATATGGTATGTGTGTGTTGAAACACAGGATCATACAATATTTTGTAATTGTTTTTTCTCTTACAGTTCAGACGTTTCTTTTCAAAGTCAATAAATACAAACTTGGGGTCGGGGTTGTAGCTCAGCAGCACATCGCCTGCCTGGCAAGTGAGAGGCCTTGAGTTCCATTCACAGTACAAAAAAAAATACACACTTGGGAGGCAGAGGTAGGAGGATTGCCTTGAGTTGGAGGCCAGCCTGAATTACTACATAGGGAGACCCTGTCTCAAGAAACCAAACACAAAAAAGGTCAATAAATACAAATTTATCTTCCAGAATACTATGACTATGCCATGTTTTCTTATAATTGTCTCTAATTTTTTTGCTATTACATACAGATAGTTCTTCAGCAAGTAATCGTGTCTATTTGTGTTTACATATTGATGTCTTTTCATATGTTGAAT